CTAGAACCTAGAGATGGGGCCAGGAAGGTGATGGCTAAGACTGATCAGAAAACTAGGACATAGCCTACCTCTGGGATGGGATGGGAGTGGTGAAGACTTTGGAGATGAGAAGCATCCCCGTCCCACAGCCACACTGCTGGAGCGGGGGAGAAAGGTGGAGCACTTTTCCCAAGAAGAGGGAAAGGGTGCTAGACATACAACAGCCCAGATGTCCGCTAATCTGTGCTGCTAACTAGATCCATGACTTCTGAACCACACCGGATCTCAGCTTTCCTATTTATAGAGTGAGGATTAAGCATCCCTGTCCCAGCTCAAATATATTATGATTTTTTTTTCCCTGAAAATCACATGTTCTTCTCATTCTTTTTTAACTTGCAGGAGAATTAGATATCTCTGTTAAAGACCGGAAAATCGTGATTCCACACATTTACTAGGAGAGGGAAACAGAACTATTTAAAGAATATCCTGCCTCCGAGGATTTTTAAAAAGATGAAGCATATTCCTGTAGTCATTGTTACACCCCTAGAACACAGATATAAATATCTTACCGTACTTTTCCCACAGCACATTTTCTCCCCCTAAGAAAGGCTCTGATTATGGCAGAAGGTCCCTTGGGGCTCAGTGTGCAGCATGGCATTCTCTTGGTGCCAGCTGGTCAGGAAGGCGGCTGCGGGTGCCATTTGGCTCCCAGACATATCTCTACCAGTAAGAGTTGGACCAAATGGTCCTCAAATGCAGCTGCAGCCAACTCTCTAAGTACTAAAGGGAACAGACGACTGACTTCCAGAGACCTGTAATCACAATTCATTGTCATTCTTATGGGTAACTGTAAAGAAGTGCAGGCAATTAAAATCTAGTCCATGATTGTAATCAGTAGCCATTAATTTCCTATGTTCCCCAAATTGCTAGAGCTCTTTTAAAAAGCCATAAATTCTTCCAGCAAAATTATCAAGGTCTCGTTTTTTTCTTCTCCCCCTTTTTTTCTGTTCCTTCTCTCCCCGGTTGCAGTTTGTCCTCCTCCCTCTCCCTCTCCGCCCCTCCCCTAGTGCTAGCCACTGATATTAAATCAGACTAGCATTTGTTCATTTACACCAAGGCTTTTAAACCCAGCCAGAAATGAGGGTTCAATCAAGTAGTCCAAGCAACAGGTATGTTGGCCAAGAAGGATTGAAGGATGAAATCAAAATGGAACTCTATTTTGAATTTTGCTTCCTACTGTGTCCTTAGAACCTATGCGGTAGCCCTGGATGAAGACAGGGGCAGTCTGTGCGTGGGGTTCCTCTGTTTGCCCCTCCAGATCCGCTCTCCATCCTGACTCACGTCCATCACATCGATATGCTCTGTGCCCTCTGGACTGCAGCTGGATTTGGACAACGGGGAGCTCCAGAAGGAAACTGAAGGGAGGGATGAGAACAAGGTCTGGGAATTTAATCTCCTGCCTCCCTCCCTGTGAGGTCACCTCATCTGGCGGTGTCCTTTGATGGAAGGGTGATCCGCTAAGGTGGTCTGTTCTTCACAACTCTTTTTCATTCTGGGTTCTTGTAACCTCTCCCTCTCCACATCCCTTTGGGACAAGGAAAGGGTGGTGTCAGCTCCAATGCTGTTAACTTGGGTTCCTGCATTATCCCTCGAGGTTCTCTTTGTTATCTGATGTTTTGTAAAGAATTTCTCCTCATATTATCAGAATTTGAGTACCCTCGTATGGAGTAGACGATTCTGCAGCCACTTTATTTGCAAACAGAATACCAATGACAGAATGATAGTATCCAATCCATCATGTTGATCAATACTGCAGTCTTCACTCCAGGATAAGAACTGTCCTCCTGCCCCAGGTAGGACATGTAGGTAGGCCCCTGCCTCTAGTGGGGGAAGGGTGTGTGGCTGGCTTTGTTCTCTCACTTCACCGATTCCCTTCTATTTCCATTCCTAGGTTAAAATAGGGGACAAAGCAGTCAGGGTAGTTTTCATTTGAACTGGTTCTATTACAATCTGGTTTTGCACCCTCTGGCCTGGCATGGTCAGACTCAACTCTCTCTACTGCCCCTTAGAAATTCCGTGCACTCCCACTCCCAGCTGCACACCCACGACCCAGGAAGGTCTCCCCTGGGGCTGGCCACTCCCCCAGGTCTTGGTTCTCCAGAGCCCCTTTCACACGTGGATGCTTGCTGCTGGAGAATCTTCATCCTTCCAGGTTATCTTCTTGGGCAGAACTTAAGATTGTAGGTGACCTATCCACCAGAAAAGTTCGCATCTGGTTGACAACTTACGTGGCTCACCTTTGTTGTGCCACTAAAACAGCTCAATAGCCAGCCTTTCCTGCTGGTCACTGTGTCCCCGAACACCTGGGAACCTGTAATTGGTTCCTTAAGACTGGGGGAGAAGCCATCAATGACTATGGAAGAGAGATGAGTTATCCAGATTGGGTTAAACCTGTGGGGACCCATTCCTAGAATTGGTGGTGATGGTAGTGGACGTGATGATGGCTTGATTCACTCTTATCCAAACCTCCTAGTTGTATAACTAAGAGGAAGAATGGGAATGGCTGTCCAGGTTGCCCAATAAAACCTCCCAGTCCAAGGTCATCTTACTCAAACATCTCACTTTGTCCCCACATAAAATATGACTTTGTGGGTACCTAAATATTACATATTCATAATACTTGAACTATAGAGGAGTTTGTTTGCACTGTGGCTGACTTCTCTATTAGGCACGGTGCCTAGGGCCCATGGTATAATTTTAGGTTCCCATGAAAATATTTTAATTTCTTTTAAAATCAGAAGAAAAAATAAACTTTTAGGTCAAAGAAAATGATTTAACATATAATATTTATACATTAGTCTTTATAACAATACAATTGTAAAATATAATAATAATAATAATAATTATTATTATTATTAATGGAGGAACAGGCTCACCAAGGCAAAAGTGTATTGGTGAGAAACTGCTCAGGCATCTCAGCTTGGCATTTCTTCTTTACTGGGACAGACTACTAGAAAATTTAAGTGTTGCCAATGGGAACCCAAAGTCCGAGGCAAAGAGATCATCCCTTAAATTCCGAGATTACTACCCACTTACTTAAAGAACATACGTAGGTTTTACAAACCTTGTACCAGAGCGTTTTTGCTTGACAGCAGCAGTCCAGGGAGGTCAGGCTCGCCTGCGCAAAAGAAGCAAAAGGAGGGAAGGCAATTCTGTGGGTGAAATAAAAACCTGAAATATCTGAAGCATTTTCCTCCAGGTGGAGGCTGATTAGCAAGGGCATGGTGAACTAAAGTATTTTCATGCATATTACATCTCTTGATCTTCATACCAACCCCGGTGCAGTACTGACCCACTTAATCTTTGAAGAATCGGACCTAGGGAAGGCAAATAGCCTTTCCAGTTTTCTACAATGTTACAACCTTGGTTACTACCTTGTGGAAGGGTAGATCAACCCCAGGTTTCTGACTCCAAAGCCAGGGACACTAAAATTGGAAGTAAAATGTATGTAGTTTATCTGACCAAGCCAAGTGGGTAGTGACTCAGGGCACACCCAAAGGGTCATAGGAGCAGACCCTGTCCTGGGGAGCACTTTTCTTTCCAGATATACTGCCAAGTTGCCCACGATGCACCTGGTCAGCTCCCCATCAGCCTTTCCCGCCATGATTTGTGGTATTAAAGTCAGAGGCTGGCTTTCTGGGGCAGCTGAGGAAGTGTGTGCTTATCACACAGAAGGGAGGCTTCGTGCAAGGGGCGAGTGGCTTCGGGATCCAGACAGCAGAGGCACTGCCATGCTTTCCTGCAACGGTGCTGCTGCACACACGTGCTTCTTCAGCCTTTTCCTTGCAGGGCTGGCTTGAATCTGGGGCCCTTTCCAGGGTCTCGTTCCAGCACAAAGGGAACGTGTGATGGGGTGGCTTCCCCACCAAACCCCTGTTTTTTCCACCTCAAGAAAATTTGGGAGACAAATTAGAGCCGTGCTATGAAACGTGGAGCTCCCAATATTGACAAAATCATTATCACCTGGGAGTTTGTTAGAAAGGCAAATTCTTGAGCCCACCAACCCATTGAACCAGATCTGGGACGGTAGGGCCCAGCAATCTGTTTTAACCAGCTCCCAGGTGATTCTTAAGCACGCTAAAGTTTGAAGGGCCGTAACATCTCGGGGACAGACGAGGCCATAGAAAGCAGATGAGCCCCAACTCCTCTATCTCTGGGTGCTACTGGGGACGACATACTCGCTTTAGCAACCACAGTGAAGGTCTCGGTCAGCGGTTGGTAAGTCAGTCTGGGGCGCGTAACTCTGTCAAAGACACTGCCCCTCCCACGTGAGTGGCTGCTCAAGTAAACTGTCACAACTCCAGCAACCTCAATTTTTAAACGACGAAACACCTGACGCAGGCGCAGCGAAGGTCTAGCTCAGCCCGACAGCGAGCATGCGCACTAGCGGCCTGCTCTCCCGTCTCTCCTCCCTCAGGCCCCGCCCCTAATGCCGCGGCCCCTTCTTGGCCTCCGTCGTCTCGCCACGCCCCACGCATGCGCGGAGGCGTTTTTCTCCCGTGGTGCTTCGCGGCGCGGGCGATTTGTAGGTAATGGCGGGTGTTTGGTCGCGGGATAGTTGCAAAGAATGCTCCTCCACCTGCTGTGCATGTGGCAGCTGTGCGAGCGGCGACAAGGGCACGTGGAGCGATCCCTCGTTATTAAACCGGCGACTCTCGGAGGATTCAAGCCGCCACACGCTGCAGCAGAAGTGGACGAACATGTGGAACTCTTTGAGCGGGGACGCGTCTGTGGCCTGCGCAGAAAGGACGCAGCGCCAGGAGGCTGCGGAGCCCGCGGAGGAGGAAGACAGACCGCTGGTTTTTTTGTGCTCCAGCTGCCGACGACCACTGGGTGACTCATTGAGCTGGGTGACCAGTCAAGAGGACACCAACTGCATCCTGCTGCGCTGTCAGTTGAGGGGTTGAGAGTGGGGTGGGACTTAGGGCTGCCTCCTTCCAGGTGTGCCGCACCTGGGCGGCCCTGGAGCATGCGGGGTGGGGTGGGTGCTTTGGGGCTACCCAGGGTCTTTACAAGCAGAAAAATCTAAGAGGTTGCGCTGTCTCAGGAAAATAGCAGGAGAAAGAGGGTCACCCCTGCACTTTGGGCTCACGAGTGGCAGGTCCTTTTCTGGGGTCCCCCATCTATTGCTCAGTAGCGATTAAATCAGCAGAGTTGTGAGCATTATTCGGTAAAAAATGACCAACTGAATTGTAAGCATTTGGGATATAGCCACTCTTTATTACTCCCTACAGAAGTCAGTGGGCCGTTAAATGGTAAATAATATTGCAAATTGCTTATTTAGGAAATTAAGCTGTTCAGTTACCCGCTCTCTGCAAGGGGTGTCAGGATTGATTTCTCACTTATTTGTTGTATCAGCAGCAGCCTTTACAATCTGAAGTGTTTCGACCATAGGAAAGACAGAACACAATGCTATCAAAATTTTTAAAAAAATTTTTTTAAAAAGGAAACCAATAACCCCATCAAAATTGGAGAGGAAGGCAGGAGTTCTAGCTTTTAATCTCTGCCCTACCAGTAGTTTGTATGCTCCCCTCCCCCTTCCCTTGTTTTGTTGCTTTTAT